GTCAGGAGCTGGCTCAAGTTACCCTTGAGGTGTCTTTGAGAGAATCAGAGTGATCTTCGTGGGTGGCATCAGCACACAGATGCACAGAGACCACAGCTCGGATGACATCACTGAGGAAGGAGTGTGACAGAGAAGAGGACCAAGAACTGAGCATCCTGGGACATTCCAAAGTCCACCCATCGGGATGAGAGTGTGGAGCCAGCCAGGGGACCAGGCACTCGGGGTGGGTGGCAGGTGAGGTGAGACTCGAGGGCCTCCTGCATGGGCTAGGATCCCACTGTGGCCACCTGCTCCAGCTTCTCTGGCCCTGGCCAGGGAGGGAAGCACTTCCAGGAGGGAGTGACTCACTGCACTGAGGGGAGCCAGCCATGCGGAGGTCACAGTGCACCTGGATGTGAATGTGTCCCCTGGACATTCTAAGATCCAGAGAGGAGTGGCTGGCACTCTTCTCTGCCTTTGCATCCCTGAAATGTCCCCACTTTTCCTTCCCATGTCATTAGCACTTAGGGGAGGAGGACAAGTGACCTCTTTCTGGTTTTTTTCTTTGAGCAGATGTTATTTTCGTATGAGAAAAAAACCCAGTGAATTTTATTTTACTTATTCCAGAGACATTCTGGGTCCCACAGACATGGTGGTTGGCTTGGGAAAGTCTCTGGGCCCTGCCTGGGTCTAGGGGCATCACATCCAGCTGAGGGCAGGCCACCTGGTCACTGGTTAGGCGGACAAGACCTCTGGGTGGTAGGCCCCACCTCTGCCCATGAGGACATTACAGTGGTCTCTGTGCACAGGGCTGGCATGAGGCAGAGGGGGCGCCATCACCCATCATTCTGCACATCTGCCATGACCTTCCTAAGGGGGCAGGTGCCTAGGTCATCATCTCACAGCTCCAGGGTTGGCTCAGAAGGAGTGTTCAAGGGTAAGGTGGGTTTATTCAGCATTCACTTTTCACATCGTCACTGAGCCCCCATTTGCTGCCTACTGTTCTGGTTGCTGGAAATGTAGCAGTTGATAAAAGATGAGGTCAGAGTGGGATCAGGGCGAGCAGCATGGCAGTAACTATGGATGTGACGGGCAGAGGTGCGCCTGGGGCCCAGAGCTGAACTAACGTAGCTCCCTTCCCATTAGAAGTGCCTACCCACTGAGACCTGGGACCGGCCAGGCCCTGGAGAACCCCTGCAGAAGCACTGAGCTCCAGGGGAGGAACCTGAGGACCGGGCCATCTCATGGCCATGGCGGGTGCCCTTCCCTAAAGCCCAGGCCTGCCCTCTACTCCCTGTCCCTTCTTCACCAAACAACCACCTTTCCTCACTCTAACCATGACCTGTCTTTGTCTTCCCCAGTCAATGACAAGTGTTCATAAGACAATGGCTCCTCAGCAGGACAGGCTCCTCTGGAGCCATTTAAAAACACAGTTTTGGGGTGCCTGGGTGGCTCGGTTGGTTGAGCGTCTGACTGTGGCTCAGGTCATGATCTCACAGTCTGTGAGTTTGAGCCCCACATCAGGCTCACTGCTGACAGTGCGAAGCCTGCTTCGGATACTCTGTCTCCCTCTCTCTCTGCCCCTCCCCTGCTCTCTCTCTCTCTCTCTCTCTCAAGAATAAATAAACATTAAAAAAAAAAAACAAAACCACATCACAGTTTTAAAGGTGTGGTAAAGCAAAAAATAAAGCAGAGGCCCACCAGTGTGGTAGCCCTGAGCAGATTTCTCTGAGCCCAGGGACATTAGTGGTTTCTATGGTGACAGTTCTCTGGGGCCTTGGACCCCTGGGAAAGCACACTATAGTGCCCCCATCAGCTGCCCTCTCAGGCCACAGCCCAAGGCTGAGAGACTTCTCTTATTGCTTTGTTGTTTTGTTAGATTTGTCTGTCTTTTCCAAATTGTGCAGGAAGAATGAGTTACTTCTATCATTTAAAAACCGATACTTTCGGGGCACCTGGGCGGCTCAGTCGGTGAAGCATCTGATTTCAGCTCAGGTCGTGATCTCATGGCTCGTGGGTTCAAGCCCTGCACCCGGCTCTGTGTGGACAGCTCAGAGCCTGGAGCCTACTTCGCATTCTGTGTCTCCCTCTCTCTCTGCCCCTCCCCTGCCCATGCTCTGATACTCTCTCTCTTTCTCAAAAATAAATAAACATTAAAAATTTTTTTTAAAGAAATAAAAATAAAAACCAATACTTCTATTAAAATACAAAGCGAAGTTTCCAGTTCACTTTAAAAAACACTGGAAGCAGTTCTGGCTGAGCCTGTCTCGGGTAAAATGTGTTTCCAGAGCTGGCTGCCCAAGTCTGAGGGTCCCTCTGGTCAGCACTTAGCCCACTGCCGGAGACTCTGGGTGTCTGGCCAGGCAGATGGTGAGCACGGTTGTCGATTAATTTATCACAGGGCCTCTCGGTTTGGGCCTGTACTCTTGGCCTCCAGGTCTCCCTTGGTCTTGCCCCCTCCCATTTTTCTTCTTCCAAAATGACCAAAAGACATACAACCTCCCATTTTAGTGGGGGGAAAAAAAAACTCATCTAAGTAGCCTTTTAATAAAAACAGAGGCTCTCGCTTAATCAAAAAATCAATTAGTCAGTGGAGAATTTTATTAGTCAATCATGTAAGTAATTAAAAATATTGATTGATGGGGGCGCCTGTGGCTGAGAGCTGCTGCTTTGCCCCAGCAATGTGGGGCCATGGCTGGCATGGGGGTGATCTAGAGCAGAGGCTCTTAAATCATTCCCTGGTGTGCCTCTTCAAGGTCAAATGGGGACGCGTTAGATAAGGGATTCCGCCAATCCTGGAGCCTCAGTTTTCTCATGTGAAAAATGAGAGTCCTGCCTTGCACACGGTTCTCTTGCACAAGTCAACCAGACTACAAGTAGAGCCTTGTGCCGGGGCCTCGCGCTAGGAGGGACAGAATGCTTGCTGGGGCCTGGTCTCCTGAGACAGGCCTCACGGACCAGCGTCTTCCAGATTCATCTGACGAGAGGCAGAGTGGGGGACACTGGCACTCAGCCTCCCATGCTCAGGCCCCAATTCCGTGAGCTCAGGAGAAAAGGCCCAGCCCCAGAATGCTGAGTTATTTCTTGGTACATACCCAATCACCCCGCAGATTAGCGGCTTCAATGACAATGTTGATTCAGTTCACAAAACGGCACATTGGCCAGAGCTTGGTGGGGACAGTTTGTCTCTGTCCTACTGAAGTCAGCTGGCACAGCTAGAGTCATCTGAAGACTTGTGGCTCCCAGGTCTGGCCGTGGATGCTGCTGCTGGGACCTGCACTGGGGCTATCAGGCTGACCGCCTCCGTGCGGCCCCTTGGGAGTCATGGGCTTTCCCAAACATGGCGGCCACCAAGGGTGAAACTCCAGACAGACAGAGAAAGAGAGAGAGAGAGAGAACTGGGTAGAAAACAAATTGCCTTGTCTGACCTAGTCTCTGATTTCACTTGGTGTCATTTCTGCAAAATTCTATTCAGCCAGCCAGCCACAAAGGCCCGCTCCCCGCCAAATCCCCACCTCACCCAGAATTCAACAGGAGACGAAACAGACCCCCCTCCTGGGGAAGGAGTGGCAGGTTCCAGGAGAACATGAGGGACCAGAGTTATTTTTGTGGGCTTCTGGGGAAAAGACCATCTGCCACATTGGACCCCTCTCCCAGAGGCCCGAGGCTGGAGTCCTCCACAGTGAGAAGGGCCTGCCTTAGCATCGGCTTCAGAGGGATCCCGAGGAGGGGGATGTTCCTCTGGAGTGCTCTGCTCTGTGCCCGGCACCCAGCTCATCATCCCACTCTCCTCCTCACAGCACGTGAGGTGGAAGTCATTCCCCACCTTCACAGATGAGGAAATGGGGAAGCTGGGTGGCTCCCTGACTTACTGCCCAAGGTCTCCCTGCTGGCCCCTCAGGGGCAGAGCTGAGATTCAAGCCTGGCCCACAGGACTGTAAAGCCTGTGCCCCTCTCCCTGTATGGCCACCCCAGAGGCCCTGCCTTGGCTGGGGAGCTCGCCACTGGCTTCGGTGCTGGCTCTTCATCCACCCACACAGCCTCGGTGGCCTTGCCTGGGGTGGGCTTGACCGTCCTCATCAGTGACGGGGCGGGGTGGGGTGCCCGCAATGAGGCCCCAAGGCCATGCGGATCACCTTCACTGCTGCCCTAAAAGTGACCCGCTAGCCCTCTGAGGCTCACTCTCAGGGCCTCGCTCTCCTGAGCCAGAGCTGACTCAGTGCCTCTCCCTGCAAGTGGCCACAATCTGTGGGGGCCATGTGAACCCACACAGGGCCCAGCACCCTGGAAGCCTTTCTCATCTGTGACATCAGCCTGCACGCCTGCTCTGCGCATGACTGGAGCTGCTCTTCATGGAGTGTGGGCGCTCACAGCCTGCTGTTTGCAGCAGGACCCCGGGGACACCGCAAACCCTGAGTGGACTCAGCATCCTGATTGTTGTCGGGGGCTGAGCCAGCAGCTGCTTCTGCAGCTCCCAGCCGGGCCCAGTCCCCAGTTTGTCAGGAGCTGGTTGTAAGTTCCCTCTTTATTCTGGGTGTCCTTCTCCCCCACCTTTGGTGTGCCTTCCCTAACACAGACATGTGCATAATGAATAAGATGGAAGATGAGGGTCCAGGAAGTAGACCCCAGCACAGGAGGGGACAGGAGGGAGGGACGGACGCCAGGCCCAAGAGGTGTCTGTGGTCAGAGCTACCCCCGACCCCATTGCCCCCAGGGCCTCAGTCGGCCCTGCTTGAGGGTCCTGAAGAGGGAGCCCCCGTCTGATGGGAACCTAGCCCCTAAAGGCCAGTCACCCCACACCAGGCCCAGGGTCTACCTGCCCCTTCCTCCCCAGGGACCTTGCAAGCCCTGCCTTTCTGGGCTCAGTTGTCAAGATCCTAAATGATCACCCCGACAGGCAAGATTCCACATTTTCTTGCTGGCACACAATTTTCCAAGGCCACCTTGAAAAGCAGGCCCTGGAGGCGCTTGTAGGCAGGCTGCTCATCCTCCATAAAACTTGGCTATTTGTTTAGACTAGCTGACATTTCCATGGTCTTTTATTAAAGACAATATCCTGGGGAGAAGGCAGGATGTTTGCACAGAGCTTATGCCCTCTGCCTCTGGCCCCCCGGCGCCCCAGAGTGGCTGGGTCTGCACACCAAAGGCGGGCAAGGCCCAGGGGTGCCGGCCTCTCCCCTCTCCTTTGCTGAGAAGGAGGGGTGGCAGCAGCCCCCCTGGCAGGCGTGGGGATGCTCCAGGCTCTGCTTGGTCCCGCGCTGCGCTCTGAGAGGCGGGATGGATGGAGGGCCACGCGAGACCACTACCTTTGTCACGGGCGGGACTACAGTTCACGGAGCAGATGCCTGCTGACCCACGCGGGTCTCCTGACCGGCTCCATCGACTGTGCCCTGCCTTCGTCTCTCCCAGGCTTTGGTGTGTCCTTTCCTCTCCTTCGTGTCTTTGTGTGTGCATCTGCCAGGAGTGGGACAGCAACTGGCGGATGCCATTACTAACAATCATCATTACCAGTTAGGACCTATCTCAGAGACGAAGCATCCACAGCCAGGCCCACCTGAGGCCCAAAGAATATTCTTCTCCCTCAGTCCTCACCCAGGCATTCCTGAGAAGGTGACTACACTCTGAGTCTTGCGTCCTCAGCCCTGGATCACGGTGTCGCAGGTCACACTGACTGGGGTGTGGGTCCCAACTCCGTCATTTACTGGCCGTGTGACTTCACAAACCCTCCGTGCAGCTGCTGACCTGGCTGTACTGTGAGGCGTGATGAGTGCCCATGTGGGAAGCCCTAGAGAGGTGACTGTACATGTTTGACCCTCCCCAGGGCCACACTGTAGGCATCCTGCTCTTCCCCACTGCGCCTGGGATGCGGTCCAGGCACAAGGTCCTGGACACGGGCCTGGCAAGCTGAGGGAGCAACCTCACAGTCCAGGAGTGTGTTCCGACCTCCCTGGTCCTGGAGGAGAGGGAAGGAGGGCCCGCTCAGCACCGCCACCCAGCGATGCCGGGCACGGGAGAGCCAAAGACTATGGCTGATCTGGCCTTAATTAAATCACGCTGCAGGCCCTGACTCGCCGAGATAAATCGCTTTTACTCCGCGGATCCATTTCGGGCAGGATCCCTGCAAATCTGCGTAAACGTCCCCACTCCCTCCACTCCAGCTCCTGCCCGCAAATCACAGGAAGCATTTCCATTTTAATCGGGACAAGGCTCGAGTTGAGACCAACTGCTGACACAATTAGTCATCGCCATCCTCAATCACCTCCAAAGGGCTACACGCCTTTGTGGATCAGGAGAGCACAGCCACCTTCTTCCCAGGATGGAGCTGCCCAGTGGGCCACCACCAGACCTGGCTGGGCAGGTGGGGTGGGGCGTGGATGCTGTGGGCCCCCAGCCCAGATTCCACCTGCCAGAGGCGGGGCTGATCCCTCCTGCCGGGAATCCCCTCGGAGGGCACTCAAAGTTTTTGTCATACAGAATGGGAGCTCCCAGCTGCTGAGAGCCTGCCTGGGGGCCAGGCCTGACACTTGCAGCATCCTCCCAGGAAAGGTAGAGAAGGAAGGGGACACGGGAGGAGGGAGAGGGATTGGTGGGTGGAGCATTTCTTAGCTGAGGCAGGAGAATGAGGATCTCACAGACCCAGTGCCCACCCCGTCTGTCCCTTCTTGGGCTCTCTTTTCATACAGAAGCAGTAGAACCTTTGAAATCTCTGGGATGGGGAAAGAGGCCAGTGAGAGGAGGAGGGGGCAATATGAGTCTCTCTCAGCACAGGGAGTTAAAAGTCTCTTGCCTGTGTCTCTCAGGCCCCTGGGTAAGGTCTGGGACGCGGCTGTGGTAGGATGGCCAAAGGCTAGAGTGGGAAGGCACGTACCATGGTGGAAGCTTCCAACACAACCCGGCAGGTCCTGGATCTGTGAGGAGAGAGATGTGGAGGTTCTGGGTACACCCAGGAGTAGAGCCAGGACCTAGAGCAGAGGAGAAAAGACACATCTAAGTGGGGGTCAGCAGACTTTGCATCACCTGGGCTTCCAGAGGCCCTGTGGCTGAGTGACTGAGGCCCCATTTGGCTCCCGACCAGGCAATGGGACCCATGAGGTCCTGGCAAGGATCCTAGAATCTAGGAGATAAGCCCTGATTGGATAGAGCTTTCGATTCTGGGCCCCAACTTCCCCTTCAGGGTGCACTTACAGCTCGGGGTGGCCAGAGATGGGGCTGAGGTGTCTCCTGGGACAGTGCCAGTGCCCTCGCAGATCTCCCGATCAGCAAGCCAACGCACCCCTAGCTATAGGGTGGGCCGGAGGGAGAAGGGAGGGTCAGGCACCTGAGATCTGGCTGTTCCCGCACTGCCAGCTCCCGTGGTGTGGCCTCCATCCTGAGAGGCACCTCCATGCCTGGGCCCAGGGGAAGAAGTGGGGGGCCAGCAGGAGATGCCCCACTTCTGCCTCTGCCCCAGCTCTAGTGAAGCCCAGAGTGAGGGGCTGCTGGGCCTCTCCCCTTCATGCACACGAGCAGATGACAGTAGGTGGCAGGAACTGGGGCCCTCAACCCCTCGGTGGCTGAGGCTGGTCAGACAAGTAGATGTGGGCTGCTCAGGAGACCAGGAGTAGAAGTTAGTGATGTCATAGCAGGGGCAGGTGCAGGACCAGGGGGAAGAAGGCAGAGCCCTCTCTTCAACTTTTGAGAATTCCTCGGGTGGTACGATCTCCAGGCCAGACCCGCACTGGGCTCAAAAATGCTCACGTAGGGATTCCTGCTGGGATCCCAGTTTGGTGTGAGCCTCCTGGACGTGACAGCCAGCTGTAAAGAGCCCACTAGCTCGGGACCTCCTGGAGTTCTTTGGGGGTGGCAAAGCCTGGCATTAACCCTGCCTGCCTTGAACTTGGGGAAGTTGCCCTCAGGGGCTCCTGGCTGAGATGCTGAGAGGGCTTTCAGTGCGGGGAGGTGAACAGGTCAGGAGGTCTCATCCAGGAACGAGAGGCTACTTGTTTGGAGTCTCCTAAGGCATAGGCCTCTCCCGTACCTACTGATTCTTTCTTGGGGGGGCCCCCCCCCCCCCCCCGCCACCTCCACTGCTCGCAGACTTCCATATCTCTGACTTAATACACCCAGGAGCAGGGAGGAGAAGCCGCTGGAGCTGGTGACAAAGCCAGGGACTACCGAGAGGGAAGGAGAGACTTGAGGTGAGGTATAAGGTGAGGGAGGCCTCAGCAGTGGGAGTCAACTCTGGAGGATAAATGAGGAGCCCTGGGCTGGTCTCTGTTGTCCTAGGATTGCCTTTGCCCCACCTCGAACTCACTGTGTGTTCTGGGCCACTCCCTTTCCCTCTCTGGATACAGGTTACAGTTAGGTGAATCCCAAACCAATACAGCTGGCCGCCTCCAGCATTCTCAAAGTGTGCTCCGTGGACCCCATGGTAACTTAGGAGGTGCTTTGGGGGGTTCTAGAGAGATGGGTTAGAGTGGATGGGAGGCTGGGGGCCAATTCTGGCCTCTCGTCTCACTGCGGGAGATTGAAAACCAGAGAATCCTTTTCCAATGAACTTTCTGAGGTTCTCTGATTCTGATCCTATCCCTGAACCTCCTCTCCTTTCTTTCTCCACTCTTGACTCCATGCCCTAAGCCGCTTCCTCCCCATTCTTGCCTGGATGGCACTGCCCACGTCTGCCTCAGCGCTCCCCTCCCAGGCCAGCCCAGCAGCTCATGTTGGCTCCTGCCACCTGGAGGCCAGCCCTCCCTTCTCTCCACCCTCACCGCCACCCTCATCTTGGTCACCACCATCCCAATGCTGGACTGGAGGAGAAGACTCTCACCGGCCTCCCTGTTCCCCTGAGGGCCCCGTAGTACCCCTCCCCTATTCACGCACACATTAGCCCGAGCTAGCTTTCCAAAATGACAGTCAGATCCTGCTACGCTTTTGTGCACCACCCCCCCCCGCCCCCAGTGGCTTCCGGTTGCTAGTAGAATCCCGTTTTCCTTGTGATGGCCCCCAGGGCGCTTCATGGCCTCCAGATCCCCTGCTCCTTCTTCGGCTGCTTCCTTCCTTGGGACCACACTACTGGCTCATCCTTCTAGCCCTTTGCCACCTGGGGCCCCTGCACTTTTCTGGCTGCCAGGTCCCCTTTCTTCCCACTTGACTTTTCTGCTCAGCTCAACCCTTCTCCAGAGGGGGCACTCCCTGAGCACTCCCGTCCTGTTTGCCCTACCTGTCCTCTTCACCTAGCCTGCTTGTCACAGTCGGGTAGCATCTTCTTCATTGACTTGGTCGCTGCTGCCTCTCCCCCAAGAAAGGCGGAGACTCACCTGTCTGGCACATGCACTGAGTGGTCCTGGCTTAGTCGACTCTGTCCTCCCCCTCAGCAGGCTGTCAGCTCCTCGACGGTGGAGATCATGTTTCCTGTTGTCCTGAACACTGTTCCCTGTGCCTCCGTGCTGGGCGCATGCGGGGGCTCAGTTCGCTAAGGGTCACGGTGACCCCGTGGAGCAGGCAGGAAACTCTGCCTCAAAGTGTGAAGCCTTGTGCAGCAGGCCGGAGCCCGGGGAGCGGAGAAGCTTGAAGGCCTGCGTTCCGACTGCTCTGCAGACCCCCGGCCGCGGGCCTGCCCTGGACGAGCTGCACGTGGCCTGGGGCCTGGCTGCCCTCCAGCTGCAGCGGACATCTGCTGCAGCTGGGCCTGGCCAAGGGCTCTGCCACATGTGTTCTGTCTCGAACCATCCGCTGGGGACATCTCCGATGATGTGAGGCTCACACTGAGATTTCCTGTGATGTAATTAGCTCCCGAGGCCTGGGGAGCCCACGGCTGTGGGCGGGCTCGGGGCGGGGCTCCCCTGCAGGTGCGCGTGTGCCTGTGTGTGTGTGTGTGTGCGTGTGCACGTGCGCGCGTGCGTGTATGCAGCTGTTCCTCGGGGACTGAGGGGTCTGGTGCAGAGAAGCGGCACAGTTTACTCTGTTTTAAAGAGACAGCATCATGGACAGCCTAAGCACTGTGGAAGCTCAAAGGTCCCACTTCTGGTGCCCAACTCTAACGATGATGGCTCAACCTCTCTAGGGTCTTAGTATACTCACCCGGCAAACGGGGAGAACAACTCTACCTCGTTCTCAGGCTCACTGTGAGGATTGAAATGCTTGTCAAGTGCTGAGGGCCGCGTCTGCCCAGAGAAAGTGCTAGAAAGTGTTGCTGCTGAGCAGCCAGTAGCCGGAGCTGAGTGGATTTGGGTGGTGGTTGGGGGAGGGGGGGCTCAAAGGGGGGCCCTTGGAATCCAGCCATTCAGTGGAGGGACCTCAGGCAAGCTGGTGAACTAGGAGGTGAACTTGTCTTCCCCATCTACCTCAGGAAGCAGCTGTGAGCGTCCCGTGATATGACGTGGGCCTGAGAAGCCCAACCCGGTGCCAGGAGTTAGAGAAATAGGTACTATCGTGGCTGAAATCTGAGCTCTGTTCTGGCCTCGACTGTTGGCTCTGAGCAGATCCAAGGGATCTGCTTTTTTCCTGGAGTCTCCTGAGATTTTCCAGCCTGGGAAGATGGAGCGCACCAGCCCTCAGGAATCCTGTGGGTTTTCTGTGGGCTGAAGAGGAGCAGGAAGCTCGGAAAGCTGCCCACCTGCAGGGAGAAGGTGCACCGAGCCCTGCATCCAGACTGGGGTGGGGGTGGGGGTGTCTCTAGGGATGCCCGTGAGGGTAGCTACTATGACATGCCAACCCCTTGGTACCCTCTGGGTAGGCCCCACATCCCCTGCCGCCACCCAAGGGAGCTCAGGACCCACATGCTCTCCAGGTGTTCCCACTGTACCCTCAGCAGCCGGCCTGGCTTGAAGGATTAAAAACAAGGGCGGCTGGAAGGAAAGGCTCTCTAGCACCTGGAGTGGGCGCCCTTGGGTCAGGGCAGCCCCCTGCACCCCCCAGGCCTCAGATATCTCCCAGGAGCATCGTCTGCCCCGGGACGTCTGCCTGCTCCTGGGGCCACCCGAGGTCCAAGCTGCAGTGTTATGGGAAAGGATCAAAGTGATAAAAATGATAAAAAAAACAAGCCAGTTCATGTTATTATTTTGCCCTCCATGTCCTTGTTCTAACTCTGCTGGCTCTGGGCTGAGCTGAACACCTTCCGTGTAATAAGATGTTGGCACAGTTTATTCCCTATGTGCAGCTGACCAGAAACCCAGCCTGGGGCTCCACAGTCCTCGCCTGGCAGGCGGTACCCCAAGCCCTCTCTGTGCAACTGTGGACAAGCCTTGCACTCTTTTCCTTGGTTTTCCCTTCTATGAAATCAAGTGCTGGCATGGGGCTGCCTAAGAGCTCTCTTCTGTTCTGAATTGGGTGGTGCTTTTTCCTACATCCCTTGGTGTCTTTCCCAGCTGCCTTTCCCGGAGGCATGGCATGGATTGTTCTAGCTTTCTAGGTACACATGTTGTCTCAGGGGATGGGAGCTGGAAAATGCTGTAACCTGAACCCCGTGTTTCCTATGACCTGGCCACATCCCCCAGAGCATGAGACAACATAGCTACCAACCTGAGTGTTACCTGGATATGCCCTCTGCTTCGTGGGGTTCCTTCAGGACAGGCCTGGACTGCAGACAGGGCACGAGTCTCTGACACCCACCTCACCCAACACGGCTGCATGCAGGGCAGGTACTGGTGCTCCCACCCCAGCTCAGAGCTCCAGAGCTCCTGCACAGAGAGGCTGAGCCAGCACAGGCAGAACACAGATACTGGAGAGGGATGAGTGTGGAGAAGGTGTCCGGGCCAGTCCAGACCATCCTCCAGCGTGCCCCATGGAAAGCAGAGGCCTGTGCCTCAAGAGGTCTAGGAGTGTCATTGCCTGTCCCGCTCTTGGAGACTCATAAGAGAAGTTCTGAGAAGCCCCACACACGAGAGTAAAAGCCTGTGTAGCTCGATAGAACCCAGCGTGTCCCAAATGCCTGGGACCCCCGAGACTTTTTGGTGGGTGTGATGGTTGATTTTATGTGTCAAACTAACTAGGCTAGGAGGTGTCTAGATGAAACACCATCTCCGAGTGTGTCTGTGAGGGTGTTCCCGGATGAGGTTAGTGTCTGAACTGGTGGGCTTTAGGAGATTGCCCTCCCCAGCGTGAGTATGTGTGTGGGGGGCAATCTGTCAGGGCCCGAATGGAACAAAACATGGAGGAAGCAGGAATTAGCCCCTCTGCCTGCCTGCCTTACTGCTTGAGCTGAGATCTCACGTCTTGTCTTGCTCTTGGGGCTCCTGGCTCTCAGGCCTTTGGAGGAGACGGGATCATACCAGCAGCCCCGGGGTCTCCAGCCGGCAGAGGGCGGGTGGTGGGATTTCTCAGCCTCTAAATTTGCATGAGCCAATTCCTTATAATAAACATTTTCCTTTGTATACAATATATATCCTTTTTAGATCCTTTTGGTTTTGTTGCTCTAGAAAACCCTGACTAATCGATACCCCATAAAGCCAATGGTCCTGGAGATCCCCTCGGGCAGCACTGGGCAGAGGTGTTGAGGGTGTTATGAGTGGAGGGGAGTCTATGCCCTGCCGGAAGAGAGCCCAGGTGACCAGTGAGGCCCATCGTGGCTCTTCTG